AATCAGGAAGTTAGAACAGCACATTTAAATGAAATTAAACCTTATATAAATTAGTATTTCTTATTACTAATTCTATATTCTTTTTAACTATTCCTTAGACGACCGACAGAAATAAAAAGAAAAATGGACGGTAAGAAGAAATTCGATGACACCAGCAAGAAGTTCAGAAAACGTATGGAAGAAGAGAAAGCGAAGGTTCGTCGAACCATATTTATTGATGACGAGATGCCAACAACCAGCAAAAAGAGAAAGACATGCAACCAACCCAGAAAAACGGCAACATATTTTCGTATGAGCTCTGCAAAACCCCAAGCAACAGTCCGTACAAAAGAGAAATTGCAGGAAAAGACGAAAGATGTTTGCAAGGAGAACCAAACGCCACTAAAGAACAAATATATCTCACCCAACAAGGGTAAAGATCCTGTGAGAAAGCACAACAAGGATGAAGTTATATGCCTGTCGTCCGACGAAGGAGAAAATGAAGATCATGAATGCTTAAACCCCACTGTCGAAGAAAATATACCACCTACTCCCGGTAACGACGTGGTAAACTCGCCTATGTATGCGCCACCAAATTACCACATTGATAATCTGGGTAACGAGGAACAAGAACCATGGTTCAGCCCGCTTTATGGTGAACCAGAAGTTCCAATGACACCTGGAAAATCAAATAACGACGCATATTCTCCGCCGTGCGACAGATGCAATAGTAATGATTGCAGTGAAGAAGAATTATTGCCACGACCGGAAGACGATGTAGAAATGCCATCTCCTGATGAAATGGAAGAAATCTTTCGTTCTTCATTTGGACACTTCGACGATACATTATGTCTCCGGCAACCATCACCAACATCATCACCAAAATCGTCAACATCATCACCTCAAAGAAAAAGAAGAGGCTGGTTCACCATTGACGTCAAAGACGAAAGATGCCATAATTTTTGCGGTCATATGGGTTATCAAAGATCCATTATCTATCGATTCTGGGTCGACCAAGCCAAACAATATCCAGAAATCGGTGCTGATGCAAATGCAAATAAAGAAAATCAATATCTTGATTCGCCCAGTTCATCCCAATTGTCATGGCTAGAAGTTTCACCGAACCCCAGACTGGTCACCACCACTCCAGCATCTATGAGACGTTTGTCACAAAGCTCGGCTGAAAAATCACCAAGCCTTACGCCCGTGATATCGTTGTTTTCAACTCCAATATTGTCACCACTTAATCTGTCAATATTATCTTCAGTGGGGTCTCACACTTCAATAAAATCGCAGACTAGCCTATTATATTTCGCTCCGTCATGCGCCCCTAGTCAATCTATAAGACAGCATCAATCACCGTCATCCTCATCGTCGTCATCAGCTTCATCGTCATCAACATCATCATCGTCGTCATCACCTTCATCGTCATCAACGTCGTCATCATCTTCATCGTCATCGCCGTCATCAGCAACATCGATATCATCACCCGTATCATCAACGCCTAAGCCATCGTCCACAGAAATTTTGGAAATAGAAGACGAAAATGTGCAGCAGCCAGAAGAAACTAGTGATAATATCCCCAACCAAAGGATGTCGCCAACAACTACACCAATTCCAGGATGGGACGATATATCACAAATGCCTAGCGAACTACGTGCCAAAATTGAAGACATTTGTAGTACCAGAAAAAAAGGGCAACGTGTAAAATTTTTATTCGCTGTCGATCACCACACCTACAATGTGACCATAGCAAAGAGTGGTAACGCAAAAGCAGAGCTGCATAAATAAACAATCTTTTAATTGCTGGAAGGGAGGAACTGTAACGTTAAAAGTCGTCGCCTCGTTTTTAACGTACAATTATTTTTTATTATTATTTTATTTATATTTAATAATCGAATTAAAAATACTTTTCTTTGTTTTATAATTTAACGACTATTTACTTATTTATGCAACGCCACCTGGGTGTAAAAGAAATTTAAATTACTTTATAGAATTTTTTAAATTTAACGTTTATATGGTTAAGCAATGCCATCTAGGTGTAAGAATCCTACTTAGTTAAGATCGTAAACCTTTAAAATACAACAATGTATACTAAGATACCATTATAAGCAACCATGTACTTGACTGCGAAAATTTAATATAAAAGGAGTCATAGTTAAGTAGAGTAAGTCAGTCTTCGCCGAGCTTCGAGTTAGGTAAGACAAGTTACTTGTACGGTGGTTGGACCGCTGGCAAATAATTTATCTTATTAAATGAGCTATTGTGAAGCAATGATTCTGGTGGTTGGACCGCTACGAACCTTTGCTTAAGAATACTCTTTATTAGATGAAGTGTGGTTGTTGCGGAGTTTGGAATTCCCAACAACACACTTATCTGACGTGGGGGAGTTTCTCCGCTAGTGTTACTCTCGTGGTTGGACCGCAAGAGTGTATCTGCTTGTGAGAACTCCATGAAGCAAGGTTGAGGTTTAAGTGAGAAATAAACTTTATAACGTTGTGAAAAATACGTGTTGTTCTTATTTCTCTCGGTCTACAAAAATATAAATTTTTGTAATGAACCACTGGCACCGGCAAGTATACCCCAGCCAGAGACAACGTTACAAGACTAGTCTATAGACTAGACTATAGACTAGACTATAGACTAGACTATAGACTAGACTATAGACTAGACTATAGACTAGACTATAGACTAGACTAGACTATAGACTAGACTATAGACTAGACTATAGACTAGACTATAGACTAGACTATAGACTAGACTATAGACTAGACTATAGACTAGACTATAGACTAGACTAGACTATAGACTAGACTATAGACTAGACTATAGACTAGACTATAGACTAGACTATAGAGTAGACTATAGACTAGACTATAGAGTAGACTATAGACTAGACTATAGACTAGACTATAGACTAGACTATAGACTAGACTATAGACTAGACTATAGACTATACTTTAGACTAGACTATAGACTAGACTATAGACTAGACTATAGACAGACTATAGACGATACTAATAGACTAGACTATAGACTAGACTATAGACTAGACTATAGACTAGACTATAGACTAGACTATAGACTAGACTATAGACTAGACTATAGACTAGACTATAGACTAGACTATAGACTAGACTATAGACTAGACTATAGACTAGACTATAGACTAGACTATAGACTAGACTATAGACTAGACTATAGACTAGACTATAGACTAGACTATAGACTAGACTATAGACTAGACTATAGACTAGACTATAGACTAGACTATAGACTAGACTATAGACTAGACTATAGACTAGACTATAGACTAGACTATAGACTAGACTATAGACTACTATAGACTAGACTATAGACTAGACTATAGACTAGACTATAGACTATAGACTAGACTATAGACTAGACTATAGTAGACTATAGACTAGACTATAGACTAGACTATAGACTATAGACTAGACTATAGAGTAGACTATAGACTAGACTATAGACTAGACTATAGACTAGACTATAGACTAGACTATAGACTAGACTATAGACTAGGACTATAGACTAGACTATAGACTAGACTATAGACTAGACTATAGACTAGACTATAGACTAGACTATAGACTAGACTATAGACTAGACTATAGACTAGACTATAGACTAGACTATAGACTAGACTATAGACTAGACTATAGACTAGACTATAGACTAGACTATAGACTAGACTATAGACTAGACTATAGACTAGACTATAGACTGACTATAGACTAGACTATAGACTAGACTATAGACTAGACTATAGACTAGACTATAGACTAGACTATAGACTAGACTATAGACTAGACTATAGACTAGACTATAGACTAGACTATAGACTAGATTATAACTAGACTATAGACTAGACTATAGACTAGACTATAGACTAGACTATAGACTAGACTATAGACTAGACTATAGACTAGACTATAGACTAGACTATAGACTAGACTATAGACTAGACTATAGACTAGACTATAGACTAGACTATAGACTAGACTATAGACTAGACTATAGACTAGACTATAGACTAGACTATAGACTAGACTATAGACAGCTATAGACTGACTATAGACTAGACTATAGGCTAGACTAGATATAGACTAGAATATAGACTAGGACTATAGATAGACTTAGGACTAGATATAGACTAGACATAGACTAGACTATAGACTAGCCTATAGACTAGACTATAGACTAGACTATAGACTAGACTATAGCTAGACTATAGGACTAGACTATAGACAGACTATAGACTAGACTATTAGACTAGACTATAGATAGAATAGGACTAGCACTATAGATAGGACTATAGACTAGACTATAGACTAGGACTATAGACTAGGACTATAGACAGATATTAGACTAGACTATAGACTAGACTATAGACTAGACTTAGACTAGGCTATAGACTAGACTATAGGCAAGACTAATAGTTTTACATCTAAATTCCGTATGAAGGTTGGTATTGTTCTTTAAGACTTATATAATTTAAACCGAAATACATTAGCCAGATATTTTAAAAACTGAGTCTATTTGCCATAGACTTTAATTTTTCAAACATTAAATGTCCTTAATAAACAAATGTAAAATATTGGCTTATTAAGATACCTTCTTAAGAATTTCCTTAATTGTAATAAGAATTGAAATATTTAAATATTTTGCAAAAGCTTAACATTAAAAAGAGCTACTTATTAACTCCATTCGTTACAAAACTAACTGGGTAATTAAACAGCATAATTACAAATGTAAAATACTATCTCTGTTTTGCTAAAATAACATTTTCTAGGAGTTTAAAATAACAAAAACATTAATATAATTATTTATGAAATTTTTAATTACCTACTTATTTTCCACAACAATTCACACGTTTCCTTTACTTGTTTCTTTTAACTAATTTTTTTCTACAACAAAACATTTTTACTTGTTGGTCCTACGAACCCACCAACCAACAATACAATGACAATAACCACACACAACAACAACTACAACTGTAGTCAAAGTAATGGATACTACAATGAATTAGAAGAAGTACCGGATGACATACTAATGGAATTAATGGCACGTTTTGGACAAACTATAATGAGAGCTCGCAATGATTTGGAAAAGTAAGTTGAACTTTATGTTTTCTGTTTTAAGTTTTCTTTGCTGTTGTTTGAATCCTATTTGTTAGCTGGTGCGTGTTTTAGGGTAATGTGTCTACATTTTATTAATGTGTCTTAGGAAATATTTAAATTTTTTAATTTAAGAAAGAATGTTGCAATTTTGACTTTAAAGAAACTGTATACTTATGTAAAAAAATAATTTTATAATCATCCTGGTATATTCAAGAACAATTTCAATCATTGGAATGTCTTTGGAACTCAAACAAGAACAGAACCTTAACTATACTTAGACAACATCCTGAATACTCCGATTATGTATATTCTACAAATACTGGTATTTCTCTTATATAGATTCTTATAGTTTGATGAGCAGATCAAATCCGTTTTGAGCTTTTTTCAACTCAATTTTATTATTACTTTATCTGTTACCAGCTATAAAGGAAAGTTATGTTTAGATGTATTATACCACAAGCAGCTGTCACTCTTACATCCTTGTTGTAAATTAAATCCTTTTCTGGTCAGTAACATACTATGTACCAAGCTATTCGTAAATGCTGATTATGTTTTACTAACTATAAAAGGCGAATGTCTTACAAATATAAGTGATCTCCTTAATTCAATACTTCACGAATTGTTATCATAGGCCAGAAATAGCTGTCAACCCCAAATAGGTGTCAAATGTTTGATTAGAAATATTCACGAGAATTTAGAACACCTATTTTAAAATTAAAAAGTAAGATGTCATTTTGAACGTAATGCCAAGAGACTGGTTGTACATAAAGGTCATAATAGCTACTCCGACTTATTATTTGTTGGTTTGGCGGAATACTAAATCTGAATTGTATCGCTATTATTAGCTCTATATTCTGAACAACCCGGGCAAACCTGAAGTCAATGATGTCTCTAGATACCTTTATAAAGCGTTGTCGTGCGAAATTGCTACAAAAAATAGTCAAACCGATTATGGGACAAGGTTTGATAGGATTTTTCGAATCAGAATACATGATCATCATGACATGACTGGACAGTGCCTAAAGATAGGCACGACGCGATTCCAATCTATAATAACTGTTCAAAAAAGGAGGAAGAGAAGGGTTCAAAGTCATACAGACATCATTCTGGAGCATTTAGAAGTTATTATTTCGGAATCAATTGCAGTGCCTGATATAGACCATCATGACATGACTGGACAGTGCCTAAAGATAGGCAATCTATAATAACTGTTAAAAAAAGGAGGAAGAGAAAGGTTCAAAGTCATACAGACATCATTCTGGAGCATTTAGAAGTTATTATTTAGGAACCAATTGCAGTGCCTGATATAGACTTCGAGATTGTCAGATTACTCTGACAAGTCATCAATGAATCGTTGTCTTAAATACTTAAATTTTCCGATGAATTTGTGCCCTTGGTCTCCATCAGATAAAGTAATATCAGATTTGTTTTCAAGCATTAATATGGCCGCGAGAAGTATCCAACATTTAAATCTCGTGACGTTGACTGACTATTGTTATCTATTATTATTTTCAATTCCCGTCCCAAATCAGATGACGCTATATAGGTTAGGTTAGGTTGATAAGAGGATATACATCAAATGCGAAGAAATATACCTAGGCCACTGTCGGGCCGGTTGTGCGCTCTTTTCATGAAAAAAAAATTATTCACTAAATATATTATTTTGCAATTTTAAGAAACTCAGTTTCATGGACGTAATTCCTATGTCAAGAAATGTTATTTCCGGAATAACATCACTTCCATGATACTTCCGTTATTGCTCGGACTTCTGCCCGGAAGCTTGTGTAATGATTAGGTAAACGGTGGTATATTTCTGTTTCTTGGTCTTCAATATAGAACTCCAAGCCCACTTTATCCCCCAATTTAGAGCCATCCGTATAACAACGGATCCCCACTGGCATTTGCTCTAGTTTTCCGCTTGACCAAGACATTCTATTTGGGATCAGCGTTTCAAAGTTTCCGACATATCCTGTGTCTGGTATGCGATCAGGCACGTCCGATGATTGTGTATAACCTTCCAATGTGTCCAGTATACATTGATGACGTGTTCTATAACCGCTTTTGGCCAGTTCGCCTAAAGTAAAGAGACGTTCGGCTGTAAGTGCCGCCTTATATCTTTTCATATGTTTCTATGGGTGGAATATCAAACAACGTTTCCAGAGCTTTGGTTGAAGTAGAATGTAGTTGTTAATTGAATTTCGGATTCAATTTATGTCCATATATTGGATTTTCATATTCCTTATTGAATATAATTGAATTATGGACAATAGATGAAACGAAACTCTGGCGACCTACTGATATCATTTTCAGAATATCATATAGTTTATGGTTCATTCGATTTCGGTATTCTTCATGAATGCAGACAAGACAACTTCATCAACTTGTGTAAGTACCTATGCTTTAGCACTATATACTAGGACAGGTAGTATTAGCGTTCTGAGGAGACTCTGCCAAATTGTTTAGACTTGGCAGATCGAAATAACATATATTTCAAAATTTTATTCTTCGCGTTATCTCCATTGATTTTAATTATCACGGTACAGAGGTATATAAATTCCTCCAATACCTGGAAGTTATATTCACATTTTCATATAGAACCAATCTTATGTGTACTCTGTTTTTTAAAACTTTTTCTTACTTTCATTCACCTTTACTGATTCTCTCTCGATTTTCGTAAAGACTGCAGCTATCCCTCGCAAAAATAATATCAATGTCGTCTGCATATGCTAGAATCATGTGGTTTCTAACGTAGATTGTGTCTGTACTATTTATAGCAGCGCGATGCTACCTTTTCCATAAGGAATGTTAAAAAGGCTACATAGTAGACTTTTGCTATATGCACAATTGGGACGAACGACGAATTTTTCGGAACGAATTTTCGTCCTCAGATATAGAACACATTAAAGTATATGAAAATACGCATAATCAATGCGTATGACGAAATTCGTCGTACGTAACGAACTGTGCGATAGGTTTATTTCTTTTAACATTTAAGCATTTTTATACCTCTGTAGTTGGAACATATAGTTTTGTCGTCCTTTTTATGCCAGGTTTGGACCAATCAGACTACAAAATTTGATCAGTCCATAGTTCGCCATACTCCTCATATAACATAAAAGCCTGGAATAAATGTTTTTGAACAAAAACAATTGCCTGTTGAATTGAAATATATAAGGCGTTCGATTCGTTTGATGATGTTTGATCGCTATGTTCACGGTTCTATGCAGATATAAACTGTGAAGGTCTTTATTATCAACTTCAAAAGAAATCAAAAAACAGAAACGACATCGTATTACCATGAAGTCATAAACTTAATATTATTAATCCAACTATATTTGGTTTCGAAATTTGTTATAATAATTACTTTTGTTATAATCTACTTATAGTTCTAAACGTACCGTTGACTTTGGTTTAGCACGCGGCTATTCCGGTACCCAGGAAGCGAAACATCGTATGGGTCTGGCTGCGGCTAATTTCCCCGGTGGTCCAGGCCGAAGGAGACGTTCGGAAACCGAAGCTTAAGGTGATTATCACACACAGTCTACTTTTAGCAACAGCTCCCCCCGACACCGAGAAAACGATTAAACCACTTCCGAACAATAAAATTGAATTAAGACAAAACACGAAAACGTCCCAGCGCTTAGAGGAAAAATAAAAAAAAAAACATATAGCAGATACAAACAAAAAATCAAAAAATTAAAACAATTGGAATGATGTCTAGATTTTAATCTTAAACAAAGTTTAATATTATTTAATTAAATTTTTAGTTAAAAATTGTGTATATAATAAATTATAAAAAACTACACACAAAATTTAAAGAAATTAACTGCACAAAAATCAAATGTTAAACAGTTGCTCCAAAAAATATATAACTTTACAAATAAAATTATTTATTTAGAGAAAATATATTTAATAAAAAACTAATTGTGCTTAAAATAAATAAAAACTACTAAAAAAAATGCTTGGTTCCTTAAATTTATAAGTTTTATAAAATAAATAAACAAAAAAAACTTTATTGTAAATCAAAATAATTTATAAATATTAAAAACAACATTTATAAATGTTCAAAAAATCTTTTAAGTAGAAATTGTACTATTTTTTAGTATTTAAGTAAAACTATTTATTGTATGTTAAACAAAAATTGTCAAACACATTTACATAAAATAAGAAGAAGAACAAAAAAAAAAAGAACATGGTCCCCTCGAAAGAAGTTTTATTTTAGTAAAATATTTTCTTGTTTCTCTTTTTAAATAATTTAAAATTAAGTTTTAGTTTTACACACATTTAAATAACAAACTTAAATTATAATTAAAAAAAAGTTATAAAACAAATAAATAACACTTAAAAAAAAAATTATTGAAAAAATGCCAGCACAAATTTGTATTTTTATTTAAAAATATTTTGATTGAAAAAAGTAGAAAAATTGCTTACAAATAAGTACTTCCATAACAATAGTAGAGAATTACTTTCATTATTAGCGTAAACGTAAGCGAAAGTTAATCATTTTAAACACAACTTAGCGCATTAAACTCTCGTATTTGTTTCCTCTTTTTTAAAAGTTTGTATATAGAAAAAAGGAAGTATTAAATAAAATTTAAATGTATTTAGTTTAAATTTTCGAAAAGTCTTGAACGTGAAACAGAGTATTATTTAAATAAATTATCAATAAAGAATATATTTAGAAAACTCTTGAAATAAAGTTTTGTATTATTTCGTATAATATAAGAAGGTGGTTTTATGGTAGGTATAACATTCTATAGTATTTCTTTGCTTCCCACTAAGTCTATAAAGATCGGCAGATTTCAATCTCTGAAAATATTGTTTTGTCCTGATTTCTACATTTCACCATTATTTAAGTACTTTTAAAATAAGTTTTCCGTGAGATCATCGTCAACAGATCAATGACAAACAACTTTGGATACGTGGTTCCATCGTTCTGACATCATAGTGACCTATAACTAATTATCACCTTAAGGAGTTTCGAAAGACCAATGTTCTCCAATTCAAGATCATCATCTGTCCCACTGGGCAAAGCAGCTCCAATCATTAGAACAACAATAGGTTCGTCAGGCTGAAGCAATACGGTAATTATCAGCAATACACTTGGGTACAAAGGCAATACACTTGGGTCCGCTTGTTCTAGCCTGTAAGAATTAGAGAAAAGAATACATAAGAAAGAAAGAAAGATATGTAGAGAAGCTAGTAATAATAAAATAAAAAGCTAACCCTTAGACGGAAATAAAAAAAAAAAATGGAAAGAAAGAAGTTTTACATTCCTACTTAGTGTTATTATTATCATACCCATTTAGAACATATGCAAGATCAGCTAGATCGGAATAATAGTCACTGTTCATTGTTTGTTCTCGACCCACATACAGAACACGTCAGTTACATGAAAGATGTGATACCGTTTTCTCCTTATCCTCATTCTGACAGATCATTATATGGGACCCCTAAGAGTCTAGCATGATTGCCGAATCTACAATGATCAGTAATGACTGAAATCAAGGTACTTAACTGAAGCCTTTTTTTGGGTTAATTATGTTGCTCCAGTGTGGTTACCTTCGCTCAGTGACACCCAGTGGAGAAACATTCAAAGCTGCCTAAATGCTTCCCTTAGTACTTACAAATTACCTCTGAACATCACCTGCACGAGGAAGGAACACAATGTCATGTTGACTCAACAGTTCCTCCTGGGATGTCATCGGAGGAGTCATCCCAACTATAACATCACACAGTTGGATGCTCCTCCGAGGCATGTCAGGAAGGTTCTTCACATATACGAGGAATACATATGTAGATATGTGCAAGATCCATTGGATCAGTCCTCGTATACGGCAGCTTTGAACGACATTCATAGATGGCGTCTCTATGAATGTCCCAGATCGCAGGATACCACATGAATGTCGTACTTGAAGCAGATACTGAATAAAACCTGCCGCGGAAAACAAAAGTAGTTCTGGCACAACTACGTAGGGATGGAGCAACAGGCTTCACGTATAGAACGTGCCGTACCCAACGAATGTCTTGCATATGGTCAGGGTCCCTGCCAACCCTACTTCACTCCGTCCGATGGATTTATGAACGCATCTAGTTGAAGTAGCCAAGACATTGACATTGATGTAAATCCCCCCAAATTTTAGCTGTTACAACAACAACAACTGAAGCCTTTGTAGCCCTATGATATAACCGTATCCACACTTATATGGATGGCACAGGAAAGCTCTTGCGACCATTAGTATTGAGCTTTAATAAAACATATTTTTGAAATATAGTTCTTAACGGCTAGAATTGAAACAAAGCGAAATTGATCTATATCCAATTGATTAAGCTGCGCTTCCACTTTATCCAATTTATCAGCAATACAATTGCCATAATTATCTTCGCTTTCCTTTACCCATATAAGGGTAATGTTCGAATGTCTCGCCATCTCATATAGAGACGCCCGGTATTCGTGGAATAGTTTAAATGTATATTTCACACCGATCAGGGATTTAATACCAGCTTGATCATCAGTGTTGTTATCTGATATCTAATAGAGATATCTGATATCTAATAGATATATCAGATATCTTAATCGCTGAAATTTCAGCTTGAAGAATACAACATTCATCATTGAGCCTAAAAGAGATCTTTGTCCAAATTCTTCAATGAAGATGCCACCACCAACCCTACTCAATGTTTTGAAACCGTCTGTGTAAACACAGAAATTTGCCGAATCGCACCAGTAATTAAAAGAGTAGAGGATCTCATTACCTATTCTAGATGAGGATTTGTCCAGTACTTGCCGCCACACAAACACTCCATAGAGTCTAATTGGCTTAATTACAGCTTCAAAAAGGATTTATACCCCAATACATACCTATGGTCCTTCTAAAAGTATGTAATGCCGACATGGCTTTTGAAACAAAGTGAGTCTAATGTAACGAGAAGACTATTAATAGCCATATTCCACAAGAGCGGAGATATTACACCACCCTTGAGGAGTGTTTCTAAGCGCCCATTGGAGACCTTAGAATCTCCCAAAACGAATACAATAATCCTATTTGAGAGCTTGTTTTCAATAAAATCAGTAACGGAATTATCAAGACTCATACTAGATAGAGCATGAAAAAGTAGATCTACATTATTTTTCAGATCTTCGGGGATGATTTCATCCGAAGCAGGAACTTTAAAATGACTGAAACTCATGAGATGCCAGAAAATAATATCATCATTAATCGTACAAGCCAAAGATAGATTTTGCGACACCAGCTCTTTTAGGGAGGTACAACCGGAAAAATTAAGATTTCCTGATTGTCTGAAGACCAATTACCGTCCACTTTTTGTATATAACTTGGGAAGGAGGGAGTTTTCGACAGGATATTTGCTACAGAAGTTGCACCACGACATTAGTTTTGCGCTTCTAACAATGACATTAAGTTTTTTTAAATTTATAGAGAAACCAGTCACCTGGTCTCTTAGGCTCCTTGAACAAGTAACCGGAATTTCAGGTTTTTTTATTTCTACCTTTTGATAGCTTATAGAATTTCTTCGTAGCAGTACTCAGAGAACTTGCATGCCAATTTACGTCAAAATCAATGACATCCCTACTACCTGTATGCGAAACTCATGGGAAGAATATTTATCAAGGATGATTTATGTATATCCCACTTAGTTACCCTTCTATTAATAAATGGTTTACAAGTATTAACCCGAACTATTATATTATTGTCAAGGTTACAATGATCACTCCATTCTTCTCCTAGATCACTAACACTAAAGGCTGTGATATCCAAAATTTCCTTCCTGTTTGCCACAACTGGATTATTATTAAGTAAGAAGTCCAAAAGGGACTAACCTCTTTCGTTCGTGTCTAAGCTACCACAGACAATACGGTAAGCATATGCATCAGTAACGAAGACCACTGGTAGGTAATACGTCCCAGCTTCTCTTAATAGACTTCTATCCTAGCTGTTCGGTGGTTGATCGCCTTGGATTACGGAACCACATCCAACATAGAATCTAGCTACCCGAAGTTACTGAATAGCTATCGCAGAACGCTCTTTTAAAGAAGCTATCAGCTTAATGTTAGCTTGGAACTAACCAGCCTCATCGTTTTGGGAAGCGGTTACTGGATTCTCCTGCTTATATTTACATTATAAACTCCAACTGAAAATCCCAAAATTACGAAAGTTCAAATATTCCCTATTCCTTTACATATCCTTTAACTATATCGAAAATGTTCCGGTTCCAGTAAAATTTAAGACGAGTGTGAGTAGTCTTCATGTTCGGTTACCTAACATATCCTTTGGGGGTATCAGAAAAAGTTCTGGTCTAAAATATGAGCGTCGGTGATCTTCGTGGTTGATCCCCAAACATATACTTTGTGAATATCGAAAAAGGTTCTGGTCTGATAAATGGGCGTTGAGTGGGAGTGATCTTTATGTATTTATCTAATTTGTTCAATTAAGTCCAGCAGTCGAAAACAGCACTCTATCAAATTTCATAAGGTAGTAAGGGCTTTAGTGACGTATAGCTATACTAAATCAGAAATAATATTAATTCTCGTCTGTAAACCATACTTGGTAACCTAGTCAGTCTGGTTCCTGTTCGCTTATATAATTTTAGATTTTC